TTTATTAAACAGGTGCTGTTTTAGATCCTGGGGATTCAGCAGTGAACAAAGTCCCGGCTTTGGTTATATTTTGGTGGGGAGAAACAAAATAAATAAGGAAATTTATGATACGATAAAAGGCGATGAATGCCAAGGAAAAAGCAGGAAAGGAGAATGGGAGCTATAAGGTTGTTTCAGTTTTTAATGGGGCGATCAGGAAAGGTTTCACTGAGAAGGTGACCTTTGAGGCAGGTGAATAAGAGCCATGTTGGGAAAATCATTCCAGGCAGAGGGAACAGCAAGGACCAAGGCCCTGAGTCATGAGCCTAATGCCGTGTCATTTAAGGATCAGCAAAGTGGTCATGGAGTGTCTGGAACAGGAGGTAAAGAAAGAGTAGAAAATGTGGTTGGGGAAAAATACGGTTTTAAGGACTTTAACTTGGAGAAATTGGGGGAGATTTTGGAGGAATTTACATGATCTGACTTCCGTTCAACAGCTTAGTCTGGCTGTTGAGGGGAGAATAGAGTGCTAGGGGGAAAAGGTAGAAGTTGGGAGACAAGTCAGGAGACTATTACTAATCTGGACAAGTTATAACAGTAGCTTGACCCAGGTAAAAACAGCGGAAACAGTGATAAGTAGAATCTGGAAATACATACAGATTTTGAAGGCAGAGCTATAAGGATAATTTAAAGTACAAGAAGCAGACTGTGTGAAAAAGAAAGGAGTCGTTGATGACTTCAAGACTTTTGCCATGAGCAACTGGAGGGGTGAAGCTGTCATTGACTAAGTAGGGGCAGACTGTTTCAGACACTGTTTTAGGCACAAGAAATAAAACCGTGAAGTAAAACAATCTCTACCTCATGACGTTGACATTCTAGCTGGAGGAGACTCATAATAAATACATGGATAAATAATTACATTCATATAAAAATGTCAGGTGGCAAAAAACCGCCCTAAGGAAAACGAAATTAAGAAAGAAAGGCCTCTCAAATAAAGGTAACATTTGAGAAGAAACGAAAGAAGTGGGGTGCCCAGCCATGCACATATTTGGAGGATTAGTGCCCCAGACCTGGATACTAGGGCAGTCCTTAATAAGCGAGGAGGAGGTGGGAGAAGGCATGAGGTCAGAAGGGTGACCGGGGCTGGGTCATGACGAAGGCCTTGTGGAATATAGCGAGGGCATCAGTGTATTCTCAGTGAGGTGCCAAGCAAAAGAGTGACAGCAGCTGCTTTGTGTTTCAGAGGGATTCATCCGGGCTCTGGAGAATAGGTCGTAAGGGGGCCGAGGGGGGGCCACCGAAATAACCCAGGTGTGGGCTGCTGTAGGGTGAGACGTGATGCTGATGAGAAGTGGTCACATTTAAAGGTATAAGCAAAACGCCTTTCCTGATGGATTGGATGTGGGGTAGGAGAGAAAGAGCTAAGAATGACCACAATGTTTTGGGTGTGAACTTATGTAAGAATTCAGGTGCCGTTTAACTGAGATGGCAAATACTTCTGTGTGGGCTCATGATACAGTTTGGAGGGAAAAGATCAAGGGTTTCTTTTGGGGTATGTTTAAGTTAGTGATGCCTATTCAGTATCCATATGCAGATGTTGGGTATGCTGCCAAATAGATGTGTTTGCTGTTCAAGGTAGGGCAACAACTGGAGGCATAACTTTGGAAGTCAAGGTCATCAAGAGTCAATGTGGAGAGAGAGAGATCAGAGGGCTGAGACATACAGAAGCAGGGACCAGGAAGGAGAATCCACAAAAGGAGGCTAAGAATGAATACCCACGAGGCAGAACGAAAGCCAGTAGAATGCGGTGTCCTGGGAGCCAAGTGAAGAGAATGTGTCCAAAAGTGCAGTCAGCTATGTCTCATGCTGCTGAGAACTGCAGCAAGGTGGAGACTGGGGGCTGACCAGGTTAGGAAGTTGGGATCGGTGACCTTGCCAAGAGTGGCTTCATTGTTGGAGATGAAAGCCAAACAGAGTGGGTTCAACAGAGAATGGTGGAAGAGTGTGGACCACTCGTGCGGGGATTTTGTTGTAGACAGAGGCGGAGGAGCCATAGCTGGTAGGCAATGTAGAGTCAAATGAGACTTTTACATGTTTTTCTTTCTTTGCCCACTTAAGATGTTTATAAGCTGATGGAAATGAACTTTCAGAGAGAAATGATGGGACAAAAGAGAGAGGGAATGATTTCAGGGTGGTATCACTGAGCTGAGGAGAGGGGTGGGGTCCTCGTAGACAGTTCGTCTGTGGCAGAACCAGGAAAGAAGGGGAGACGTGTCAGTCAGACATAGGCACTGGCGGGAACATGGTGGATGGCTCTTCGCATCGTTCCCCCGGAAACGGGAAGTAAGTCATCAGCCGAGCGTGGAAGTGGGAGGGTCGTACAAGGTCTGAGGACAGAGCAAAGACATAATATATCTTGGAAATAGGAGAGTTACATCAGATATCTGGTTAATTGTCAGGCAGCATTAGGGGCCCTGGACATCTGTGATCATAAATATGAAGATAAGACCAGTCAACACACCCAGCCATTCAGCTGCTTTGTTAAAACCCCTTTGCCCCAAAGGGACCAATTAAATGTATTCACAACTTGGAAGATATCTTCCCGGTAGTATACTACTGACAGCCACTTGTCATCACAGGGATACGTGCCTTTTTGTTTAGAAAGAGAAAAGATAACTCATCTGACAGATCTTTTAAGTATTTCACCATGAGCTGTCCAACAACCTTTTATGTTCATCGAAGAACTTTCATAGACTTCGGCTCGCTACAGAGTACAGTAACAATCCCACGACATCCAAAAGGTCTTGTGTATATAAAATTAGCTATATCCACGGCATTCTACAGCAACGTATGTACCTCTGCCTGCAATTTTTGCTGCTACTTCCTGCTGGTGAATGAGGTAATGGATGGATTTTACCAGTGGCACTTATCTCAGAGTTCTTTTATTATTTTAGTCAAACCGGCCAATCCTTCCATGGCTACGTGGACACAATTTTACCACAAAATATTGTTTTAATAAAAGAAATGATTTACTGTCCAGAATATCTTCTCCCTGGTGCATCTTCCCATTAATGCCTCCTCAAAAGTAGTTCTTTTCTGCGTTCAATTACTGAAACGGGATCTTGAGATGACCATGAGCAGGGACTTGTTAGAAATGTCTATATTAAAAAAAAAAAAAAAGTCTATATTTTATCCAATTGTACAGTGAACTTTCAAATTACAAACCTGTGTAATTTGTTCTAAAACTTGTTTCTTCTAAATTTTCAGCATTTCCTACATCTTCCAAGAGTTTTTGCAACAGTATTTGTCATCTGTTATGTCACCCATATTTATTATGGCAGAGCGATAGAAAACAGATAAATGTAAAACATGACTTCCAGGCGTGATAAATGCTTTAAAGCTGGGTAGGCACAGAGGGCAACAGGTGGGACAAGTGAACAGAATTTTTATAGGGTCATCAGGGAGACCTCTGTGAAGGTGGGGCGGGGTGAGCTGAGATAAGAATGCAGTGAGCACCGAGCAGGAATATGAGGGGCTCTATCCCAGGGAGAGTGAAAAGGCCCTGGGGCAGGACCGGGCTTGGTGTGTTTGAGGAACAAAAGGAAGCCAGTGTGACCAGGGGGGAATAGGTGAAAGGTAGAATTGCGGCCCTCAGGGTCTGAGCCCTGGGCAAGTCCCCAGCTGCCAAAGGTCTCCTGCCCACCAACTACCCTCCTCTGATGTTTGGCCAGTACACCCGTCAGCCCGTGCCCCACGTAGATCCCACCTTCTGGCCACCATCAATGGCTCCCTCCAGCAAAGGGAGAAGGGACGCCTGGTGGATCACCTGGTGGCCAGCCAGCCAGCCAGCCAGCCATGGCTACGTTATACTGCCCACTTAACCCATTCCTGTCTGTGGGGATGACAGCCTTCACAGGATTCTGGCTCAGAGAGAGCTAGAGAAAGCCTGGGGGAATAGCCAGGTGGGGGCCCGCACAGGCAATAGTCAAGCATTTGGGCCTCTCTTGGAATAGCAGGTACGGACAGTAGGGAGACTGCGGAGGAAGGAAGGGCCCGAGGACACCAGGGTGCAGCTCCCTCTCTCCACCACTCTTACTGAATGTCACTTCCATCTGGGGCACACCTTTGGTACAACCCACCACAGCCTTGCAGCCAAGGGCACCGACAACACTGGTTTTCCTAGCAAAGTGAGAGCTACTGCGTATCTAGTGTTTTCTGAGCATGTTAACTCATTCGAATATTATAATCATCATCAGCCCCATTTTACAGGCAAGAAAACTAAAACAAAGGGAAGCCATTTAAAATTTATGTGGGTGTCTGAGCCAGGAGTCAGAACTGAGTCGCGTGGGAGAGGATGCACAGCCGCCATGCTATGATCTTGGCAGGAAGGCCTGGCTCAGCCGCATTAATATGGCACTCTGCGAAAGATTTCTGTGATTTAGCCAATAATAAGATGTTGAATATGTAAGAATCTCAAGATGATATTGTAAGAATCAGAATATGTTTGTATATAATTTCTCTTAGTTCAAGCTGAGGGACAATTTATTACCCCAAATAATGTAGTTATCAAGAGAAATTCTCGATTTTGAGTCTACAAATTACCTAGTGGCTACTGATTCGGTGGGGAAGGTATTGGAAGAGTTCGTTGCATTTCCCTCTGTCAAATCATAGCTCCAATAGGGGCATTATTTTTTAACGAGAACATATCTAACAAAAGATCACACCAATAATTACCGAAAAACAACAAATAATTTAGAAAGTATTAGAACAAGTGCTCTGTGTAACGGCTTACATCATTTTGTAAGCAGTTTTATTATGTAGATAAGCAAATATAGGTTGCTTTATTTAGAAAATAGAGTATATTTAAAAGGCAATATATTTAAAATTTTTATTTATATAGAAACTTAGACGTGAATATACCCCTACCAGTTATTAAATATGGGTGTTTCAAATATTCCTTCTGAAGCCATGGTTAGCCATTTCAGTGTGATTCTAAGTGTATTGAGAAGTCATTGAAGGATTTCGAACAGAGGAGTGACATGGTCCAGTTTATGCTCCGAAGTGTCATCCAGGCCTCTGTGTGGGGAACAGACACCGCAGAGGACAAGGTTAGAATGCAGATGACTGATCGCAAATCTCTTCCAGGAATCCAACCCAGATATAACAGTCCTTGGACAAGGGCAACGAGAAATAGATACACTTCTCATTGGTGGACAAGTATATCTTCACCTTCACTGTTGAAGGTGGAGCCAACAATAGATTGGGTGTAGTTGTGAGAAAAGAAGAGAGAAATCAATGGTGACGAGGTGAGGTGGATGGCTGGGCGCCTCGCCGGGATTGTTCGGAGCAGGTTTGGGGGTGAAAATGCAGACTGAGACATGTTAAGTTGACGTGTCTATTAGAAACACAAGAGGAGATGCTCATAGGAGGTTCGACCGATTAGCCTGGCTGGCTGGAGATGTGAATTTGAGAGTCATAATGTAAAAAGGGGAATTTAAAGCCCTGGGACTAAATGAAGACACCTAGGGAGTGAGAGTCGATGAGAGGAGAGAGCCCAGGGCTGAGGCACAGGCGCTGTGACACTTAGCAGTCAGCACGAGCAGAACAATCTAGTAAAGGTGCCAGAGAAGGCGCAGCTAACGTGGAAGGAGGAGAACCAGCAGAGTGTGGGAACCAGAGACACGTGAAGAAAGTTTCGAAAGAGAAGAAACGTCACATGCCAGTAAGAGTTGGATGAACTGAGCATAGGACTTGGCAAGGTACACGTACACGTACGTCACTGACATGGTGGGCGTGAAGTGGTGAGGGTAGAAGTTTGGTTGGAGGGGGCTCGAGGCAGAACCGAGGACAAGCAGACAGTGGATAACGACAGCACCTGCAGGAGTTTTGCTGAAAGGAAGAGCTGAGAACGGGGCAGTCCTGAAGGGCGATACGGAGAAGCTTAAAAGTGAGCAAGGGCGGCATAGTTGCATGCTAACGGCGATGAAATGCCCTACTAGAGAGAGGGGAGAATTGCAGGAGCTCCGTCCTTGAGTAGGTGAGAGGGACAGATCTGGCCCCTGATGAGGCTGCCCTTAGGGCCTGCATTATTCTTATGTGACTAGGCCATGGGAATTTCAGGAATGTGGCCACCACTCAACCGGGATGGGGCCTTGGTCTGCTGGGTGTGGCCACATTAGAGCTGGTCCCAGTGCCTCCTCCCAACCCCCAGTGCTGCCAACATCTCTGGGCTTAGAGCCCAGGACACCTCAGCTAAAAGTTTAGTTAAAGAGGTTCTGCAGAGTGTGGAAATGGCTAAATACTGTTTCGAGGAGGCGGCAGAGCAGAGACTCTGCAATCAGGAGAGGAGGCTGGAATCCTGGCCCTGAACCATGCCTGCTAGTTTTGTGACCTAGACGAGTCACTTCCCTGACTCTCATTTTTCTCATCTGCAGTACAGAGATGATAACTCACCAAAACACCTGAGATTATAAGGTACAAATGGGATGATGGATGTGTAAGGGCTTCGTCAAAGCTTTTAAACAGAAAAGTGAGACACAAAGGCCATAAATTGCCGTGAGGATTAATTTACTAGATCATCTTTCCTATTTATCTCACAAAACAGGCACAGCTTGTGGAGGAGGCATTTCTAAGGACACATTTCTGTGCCACTCCTCCCTGTGGGTTTAATTTCGTAACTAGACTTTTAATTTTTTTAAAAAAGATAAGAACAAGTCTCGACTCCTTTGGGGAGCTTCTGAATATCATTATAGACATAAGTATATCACTTCAAGATCATCAGTTGAAAGGGAGGAGTGACATATTATTATCTTCAAAGCTTCCTGGGAACCTATTAGATGCTAATCACAAAACAGGGATATTCCAGAAAGCAAACACCATCCTTGACACCTCTCAGACTTGAGACTCCTTCTTCCCTGGGCTCCCGTCAACATCTCTGCTGGAGGTAAGAGAGAATCAAGCCCCTCCGCAGAGAATGGACCCTCCATGGCCTGCTATGGCCTGATCTGTCTGTGACTGAGGCCGAAACCCTCCCGTGGTTTGTGTAGTCTTGGGAAAAAGGGTAAAGGAATGAATAGTTGCTGGGCATATAGTGTATCGGGCACTGTATCAGGCCCATTACCCAGGTCATCTCATCATTGAGCTGGGAGGTAATCATTCTCTTCTCATCAAACAGGAAGGGAAACTGAGGCTCAGGAGGTCAAATCAAGTCGCATGGCCAGGAAGAGGCAGAGGGGGAATCTGAACTCCATTCTACCTGCTCCAAAATGAGTGGATGAATGAATAAAGTCCTCTGGATGCAAAACTGCCTTGTCAGAGGACATCAACAGCCAGAAGGCATAGCCCCAATTAAGCAGAAGCGAACAACCTTCTAAGATTTGTATGAGGTACTCAGAGTTTGGCTTAAATAACTCAAGAGTTTCCCAAACTCTCCAGTTGATAAGATCTCAGGCAAGTTGCAGAACCTGCTGGGAGCTGGTTTATCCATTTCTAGTCTTGGGGTGGACGAGCTCTTGCTCCTCCCTCCCTTCCAGGAACAGGGCCACAGGAGTTGTAGCTCTGGTCGTGGGCTTTAAAGTCCTTGAAAGATGAGTCCCGGCTTGTAACCATCCCGTAGCCAGGACTGGCTACATAATTCGTGAGGTGCCTTGTCCAAAAATTAATAAGAATTTCAAGATGGTGACAGCAGAGCATTAGACCAAGCCTAAGGCCCTTCTGAGTACGGGTCCTGTGTGACTGTTTAGGCTGCACGCCCATGAAGCCAGCCCTACCTGTGGCCATTGATTCGGGAGAAGGGAAGAAGGATCTTAAAAGGAAATTGGTGAGACATCTTGGGAACACCAAAAATATGACAAATAAATAAAATAACCGTAGAGATCAGGTTCTGGTTTCTTGAAACATACGATTACAGAATAGAAAGCATTTTTTAAATTCATCGAGTGCTACTCTTCCAGTGTGTGGATGAGGAAATGGGGACCCAGACAGAAGCGTGATCTGGGGAGTCGTCTGGTGCCACAGAGAAGGCAGACCTTCTCTAGATC